ACATTATGGCGGTGGAAGTTCAAATCGGGTGGCTTTGGATTTATTTAGGGAGAGGTAGTTAATCTGGAAAAAAAGTCTAGATGGTAATGAACATGTCCAACGGGATGTCATGTTACATGTTACGTGTGTTGTGAACAATCAAAAGAGTATGACCAAGGTGGATGTCGGGTGTCCGGGAAAGGTCAAGAATCGAGACAGTTCGACAAGAAGGTGATTAAACACTACTGTGAACAAGCAGTATAACCAAACCGATTAAGGAAGTGATTGTTGGGTTAATCGGTTTTTGGCAGTAAGAAAGTTTCCTTTTTTAATATTCTTTTTTTATTCATTCATGTTTTAGAATATAATTAGGTTTCAAATTATTAGTATAAGGAGTCTTTTAAACTAGTATAAATAGGCACATATGTTAGACGTTTTTATTAGGAATTTCCCCTTCAATTATTAATAAAGCTTGAACATCAAGAAAAGTTCCAGATATCCGTTTTTTGCTCTTTTCTTCCCTTGTTTTTACCTTGATTACATTTAGTTATTCCAACACTGACTTGACACTTCAATAGTGTGGTGAGTGTCGTATGGTATCCTGTGGCCTAATTATAAGAAGATTCAGGGTGGATGGGTGAAGTGGTGAGGAAGGGAAGTACGCATGAGCAAGTGAGAACGACATGATTGAAATTTGATGTTTTGGGTGGCCTTTGTTGCTTTGAAATTGCAACAACAATAGTGTGGGTGATGATATGGGTTTTTGATTTGGTTTTGAGATCTTCATCCACCATTGTTCATGTATGGGTTTTAATTTTCAGATCTTAATTTCTATTTCCATTTTAATGTTAATGATTTAGTTCTAGTTTTAATTTTTAGTTAGACGTTTGAATTCAAATTGGTTTTAATTTTTAGATAGATGTTTGAACATAGCGGTGCACTATAGTTTTTTTTTTTTGGTGGTGGGGGTGGTGGTTGGAACTTCTATGAAGAAAGTGAAGGTTATGGTGAACACTAGTTCAATACGGTTATTCTCGTAAATAACTACTAAGAACACAAGGATAAAATAAGTATAAACTAAAATTGGGTTAAATTGGTCATTTTACATGGATTTAATAGCCAACAAAACTACAAGAAAATTAAACCATAAGATTTGACTATGCCAAATTTTTAAAACTTAAACTCAAAGTGTAAATTTCATGTACACATGAGCCATTATCTATCATCAACAATTACTAACATGACAACATATAATCAATAACCATTCACGTACACTCAATATATATTGTATATCGTGCATAAACCATCAATCATAGTGCCCCAAATGTTTTGGGTGTTTTTGTTTACCATCAAAGTTCATCATTTCTCTTTTGCATTATGTATTTCATCATGTGGTTTCATAGTTACACCTCAAATACATAACATTTTGTTTACACATACAAACAAAATATAAATATATTTTTCCATAATCAAATTAAATTTTGTTGTAAATAAATAAGTAATGAACAGTGGCGGCCCTGGGTGTGCGAGTGGTGCGGTAGCACATGACCTCCGATTTTAAGGGGCTTCTGAATTTAGGGACAATATATAGTAACGGTGTTGGTATTTTCATAAAATATATTTTTATGTATTACTATTAAAAAAAATCTGTAGTTAGCTATATACCTAATATAACATTTGGTTGCAATCTTGAGTAATTTTAATTATGAAAAAAAAATCAAAATCTTATCATAAATTCTATAATTTATCAACAATTTAAGGAAAATATCTATATAAAAAATACATATATTTTTCTAATATAAGTTCAAGAAAACATTATAATTTTAATAAATTCACCAAAAGATTAAACTCTAACAAACCTAATAACGGTGTCTATAAATCATTGGTGTTGTTCGTCTCATGTCGAAAATTGCCGTTTCCTGTCTTGAATCTTGATATCTTGCTGAGTTGTTAGCAGTCGCCTTTTCCTCCTCTAAGTCCTCTAACCGACTCCCTAACTACATGTTAGTATCTCTTATATCTTTAAATTTCCCAAATCCCAACCGTGCTTAACTTTTTTCTCTCTTAGGCTAAATGTTCATTTTTATTTGAATGCTTTATTTATGCATTCATAATGAAGTAGCGAAAGTAAAAAAAAACAATGTTGTTTGTTTGTCATTTTGTATAATATAGTGCCTTTTGAATTGTGTTTATCACTCTATCACTATGCTTTATAGCTTTAACTTTTCAATGTTTTGGCATAGAGATGTCATATAGCATAATCTCTTTTGAATTATGTTTATCACTGTATCACTATACTTTACTGCTTTAGCTTTTGAATGTTTGATATAGGGGTCAAAGTAGAGCATTGACAAATTTTAGGGTGACAGTGATGGAGGGTAGCAATGGGTTTTCCAGTGTTTGGTTTCTAATATTAATATAATATAGTCTAATACTTATAAAGATTAGAAAACAATATTTTTGTTTGATGCTCTAATTGTTTTAAACATTAACTTTTTGATATATATATATATATATATATATATATATATATATATATATATATATATATAGAGAGAGAGAGAGAGAGAGAGAGAGAGAGAGATAAGTTCAATTGAGAAAATAAAAAATGTTGAGAATGGGAGAATCATTCTCAGCCACTCATTTATTTATGCCGCAAAAACCTCCGTTGTACCAACGGAAATGGATAAGGAATACACATGTGTTTCCAACAAAACATGTTTTCTTAAACTATGCTAATCATTACCTTAATATACACAAAAGTATAGTTTTTTTTTCTTCGTTTTTTTAATTTTTAAGAATTTATTTTTATCGAAAAATGATTTTAAATATACCAAAATTCATGATTTTTTATTCTCTACAAATAGACATCCATATTGATATACTTTTAAGATAAAATAATTTTTTTTTTTTTTTATATTTTCAGCTATCGTTATTTATAAGTGAATAAAAATGCATCAGATTTTTGCTACAGTACATTCGTTATTCACTTATGAATAAAAATATATAATTAATTTTTTTAAAGTGTAAGTATCATTTATACTACTTATTCATATATGAATAACAAATTAACTGTAAAGAAAAATCTAATAAGTGTTTTATTCATATATGAATATAAAATATGACGATAACTAATACACGTTTTATTCATATATATAAATATAATATATGACGAAAGATGATGTAAAAAATATATTTTAAGTAAAAAACTTTATTACGTGTCATATTCATATATGAACGATACTTAAACTATAAAAAAAAAGTTAAGCATACGTTTTATTCATAAGTGAATAACGAATGTACTATAATAAAAATCTGATAGATTTTTATTCACTTATGAATAACGAGAGCTGAAACTCTAAAAAAAATAAATTTTTTATTTTATCTTAAAATTATATCAATATGAATGTCTATTTATAGAGAATAAAAAATTATGAATTTTGATATATTTAAAATAATTTTTCGATAAAAATGGCTTTCTAAAAATAAAAAAAACAAAAAAAAAGTATGTTTTTGTGTATATTAAGGTAATGATTAACATAGTTTAAAGAAACATGTTTGGTTGCAAAATACATGTTTATCCGTTATCCATTTCCGACGGTACGCCTAAGCGTTTTGCGGCAAAATAAATGTGTGGCTGAGAATGATTCCCCCATTCTCAACTTTTTTTTCTCAATTGAACCCTCTTCTATATATATATATATATATATATATATATAATATATATATATATATATATATATATATATGGGAAAAGTGAATATACCCTTAAGGGTATATAACTTTAGGTACTCAAATTCACTATACTACGTCGTTTTATATCATACAATACATTCTAATTGTCCAATGTTCTTATAATTTAACTTCTAACTTGATTTACTTCCAAAATTTTTATAAATTACACATTTATCTTCCCCTTACATAATTTTCATTTTCAACTACAATATATATAGCCTAGTAGGTGTTCGGAAAAAAGATGTGATGTAAGAGAAATATAATAGTGAAATTTCGAATATCTTAAAAGTAAATCAAGTTAATGTTGAAGTTTAAGAACATTATAATGAATATATCAAACAAAATGACTTATTATGGTGTGTTTGGGTACCTAAGGTTATATACCCTTAAGGGTATATTCACTTTTCCTATATATATATATATATATATATATATATATATATATATATATATTGTTAGGTTATTACCATTGATTATAAAATATGAACTGGGTTATTCTAAACGTAAAAGAAAACCAAAAGAATAAAAATTTATTCATAGTAAAAAAGGATATATCAATCGATTTATCGCAAAACAAATGTTGAAATATCATCGTAATGAAGAATCGGTTGTGGAAGAACATAAAAAAGAATAAGTTAAATTGCTTGTGCCAAAAAACATGGATGAAGTTGTGCAAAAACTTATAGAAGAAATTGATGATGTTATGGAAAAACATAGAGATGATGAAAGTAAAATGTAGGTGTATGCCTAATGTAGATGAAGACATAGTCACTTTTAATGGTAATGATCATGACAAAGAAGATATTTCATTGAAAATATCTATGATCCTAGAAAATATAACATCTAATAAGTGAAGAAATGATATTGTGATAATAAATTTATGACATGTTTGTTACCAATTTTAATTTTGAAGTAGTGGAAGCAAATTTACTTAATATAGTATTTTATAAAAAAAATTATGGGTCTCACTTTTGATTTTCGTACCAGGCCTCGACATGTTAGGGCCGGGCGTGGTAATGAAACAAAATTTCGGTTCTTTTAATTTACGAAACTGATGGAAAGTGGGACCCTTGAATTCGAGGACGTAAGAGGTAAGACAAATGACAAATCAGGAAGCAAACCAAGTAGACGCATGTGCAAGCGTTATAAATATAAGCAAACAATATTGAGATCTCAAATAGGTGGGAGTGATAATAAATTAACAATGGTGGAGTTATAATACGTTCCTCTCTCATACGTTAACTAGTCAACCCTTCTCCTCCAGACCTCCACTCTCCGTCGGAATCATGGCTTCAATCAACATGACCAACCCATTAGAGAAGAAACCTCCCACCATACTCCGATGCGCAACCAGCCGGCCCAGAATCTGGCGGTTACGAAGGAAGAAGAAGCTGCCGACGGTGAGACTGGGAGGAGGACAGTCGCAGAGCCAGTTGCAGGGAGGAGGATCTGGATCTCTCATGGCGGGAATGATTCGGAGAATACGCGTTAGATGGATGAAGCTGAAGAAGGCGTGCGCTCTGAAGAAGTTGAAAGAATATTATTTATGTGTTCTCAAGGAACTGACCGAAAACGATAATGGAAGTTTCGAGAAACGTCAGCAGCTGCTTCTTATGGAGTCTTCGTTTGGAATCCCTGTTATGGGCATTACCTTCAACGCATATAATTAACATCTTCATCTGGTTTTCATGGAGATCTGCGATATTGATGATTTGATCCTGATAGAATTCGAGGGGATATTTAAATTTGGTTTAATATTCCTCGAATGAAAACCGCACATGTAATTAGCATTTTAATAAAGCAAATATTGATGATGATTACGTAAATTTTGTATCAAGCGCCTCGAAAATAAGGCTTTCAAGAATACAATACAAAATGGTTTATTGATTATTTTGTTTTCATTAACTTCATAACGTTAACGTGTTTTGTTGCAAACAATCATTCTTTTTATCAAAGAATATCATAAAAAGCGTTCAAATCGGGACTTAATTGATGGTTTCTCGATGTAGGTTTGAGTGTCCAAGCATTGTCTATGTATATATGTTGATCTTATTAACAGTTATCAGTGCTCATGCTCTATAATTACAAATTTAAAATACTAGCTCAGGTAATACTAATTAGATAAGGTCCACAATCTACAAATAATCTCTTTGTCTCTATACCTAAACTCTAATTAAGAAGGCATTTTTTTTATAAGATATCAAATCTGTTTGTGTCATGCGTTATTTAATTATTTCATATGTTGCAAGAGAATACTTCTGCGTAATTAACTAGTATATGAGATACCTGCACGAAAAATTGACGTACATATTTAAGAGATGGCACATTTCCCACTGTCATAATTTTATATTATTTTTAGAATATTATAACTTATTATTTTTCTCATGTTCTTATTTAACAAAAATCAATTATGAGAGACTTTTTACTTTTTTTTTTTGGAAACATTGAATATATATATATATATATATATATATATATATATATATATATATATATATATAGTTTTAATTTCCTTTTAACAAGTATCACTCTAATACAACTTCTCATTAATATTATGTCATGTGTCATATATGTAGATATATTAGGCAATTTATTTCAAAATTCAAATTTACATTTTCTAATTATATATTAAATTTGAAGTTATAATAATTTTATGTAACGCCCGCAGATTCGGGCTAGTCAATTAAGAGACAATAAGTGTCAAAAATGACTTTTTGATGGAAGATTATTTAGAAGGAGTAATCTTAACTAAGTTGTAGTATATGTTACAAGGATTCCGTACATATAAAGAACGCCGAAATCCGAGTTATAACGAAGAAGTTATGACCTGTCGAAGTTTCGCGACAGAACCGGCACGGCACAACGCGACGTAAATAGTGAATTTACGTTAGATCAATATTTGGCCTTAGCGATCTAAACGAAAGTCGTAGAATACGTTAAACCGAGAGCGTGCATAAAAAGAGCGTCCAAATCTGACTTCGTATGAGGAAGTTATTATTTTTCTAAGTTTCAGCTTAACAGTATGCAGCCCGAAATTCGATTTTGAGATCGAGTGAGTTCTAGCCGAAACAATCTAAACGAGAATCGAAGATCTCGTTGATAGTAGTGCAACGGTGAAAAGACAGTCAAAAACGGACGTCAGATGAAGGAGTTATGAATTTCAAACGGAGTTTTCCTGTCCCGGCCTACTAAAAATAATATATTAAAAATAGAGTCAAAATTAGCCGACAAAGTCTAAACGAGAGTTGTAGAGAATAATCTCACCTACGCGTTGATATAAAGAACGTCGAAAACGGAGTTCGTATGCGAAAGTTATGAATTTCTGAAGTTCGGGACGCGAAACCCCAAAACTGTCAGAGACCACGACGTGAAAACAGTGTTCACGACGTGAAATGTCTTCTGACGCCTCCTGGAGTCTGCCAGACCCAACTTGCGATGACGCATGTAGTGACGATCAAGCCCACGACGTGAAAATACTGTTCACGACGTGAAAATCGAAAAATCAGCCCTATAAATAGAAACCGAAGGCAGCCGGTTTTGGTTGCTAATTTCTCAACCTCTCTCCTACTCTACTCATCTTTAAGCCATCTTTTAGCCCCCTGAAGTCCCGGTATCATCCCCGATACCCGAAGCGAGTCCCGACGCTCCGAAGATCCCGGGAAGAAAAGAGTTTCAAGCCGAAGCTCTGCCCGCGAGAAGACCGGTGTGTGAAGATACCCCGGTTTCATCGAAGAATACTACTTTACAAGCCGTAGTGTTGTCCGAGCATCGTCTAATCAAGTGAGTGTATAGTCTCTTTCATAAACACGATTTTAATACAAGTATTGTTTGAATGTATTAAGTATATGTTTCAAGTGAGTGTATAGTCCCTTTCATAAACACGTTTTTAATACGAAGTATTTGCTATGAAATACATGTTATGTGTTTATATATTGTTTGTTTATTTAAGGTGGGCGTGAAATGAATGTTTTATATAGGTTCTAAATGAGTTAACCTGTATATGTATTTTAGATCTACAAATAGGTTGGGTAGAACATGGGTAGATGGAATAGTTGGTGTGTAATGAAAGATGGTATGAGTGAACCTTGGTGACTATGAAGTTAGCGCCTGTTAAGTGAACCTTGGTGATTATGGAGTTAGCGCCTGTTAAGTGAACCTTGGTGACTATGGAATTAGCGCCTGATAGCTATGGATTCAGTACCTGAGAGATAAACGTTGGTAGCTATGGACTTAGTACCTGATAGATAAACTTTGGCAGCAATGGACTTCGTGCCAATTCCTTAGGTAAATCCTTAGGAATGAATGAATGAAGGATAGTTGATTCTTAGGGTAAAACCTTAAGAGTAAAGAAGATAATGGGGATGGGTAATTGGGTTAATTGTTTGATGATTAAACATAATATATTATTGTGGGTTGAAAACCCTATATGCTCACCAGGCTCCCAAGCCTGACCCACTCAGTTTTCTTTGTATCACAAGTATCGATACGAATACATATTTCACTAAGAGATTAAAGGAAATGTAAATCATTAGTGAAAATAAATGTAATTTCTGTTTATGCTTATGTGTCTGTATCGGAACATGACATCTCGAGATTTTGTTATATAATGAAAATACATTTCTTTAAGAAATGCTTTGATAAATTCTTATCATATTTTGTTTTGGGAATCAAATTCCGCAACTGTTGTCTTTAAAAGATTACTCTGATTTTAAAACAAAGCATAAACAAATCGGTCTTTTCTGGCCGTGAAATTGGGGATGTCACACTTTAAAATTTTGATATATCTCTTAATTAATAATTTATTTAAAATAATTGATTAATAATTATAAATTTTTAATATAAAATTTTAATTAATTTTATAACCTGTGATTCCACGGGTTATAAACTAGTATATATATAAAATAAAGAAAAAGAGTCCAACCATTAGCAAGTGGCTAAGGAGGGAAAACAGGGGATATCCAAAAAGTAAAAACAGTTTTTAGATGCAACAGGAAAAAAAGATAAAACATGAAAATAATTAAAAAGGGGAGCAGATCCATTCCACCGTTTCTACCTAAATTACTCGTGTATTTGCATCATTCCAAGATATGATGAGATCCGGCGTTTTTGTTGGAGGGACTTTGATCCGGTTGAACAGTTTATCATTTCTAGCCAACCATAGATTCCAGATTGTGGAGAAGAAGATAACATTCAAGGTTTTTTTTTTTCTCAAACAGTTCCCCCAAGATGCAGCAAAATCAACCAATTCTCTTACATTTTCAAAATGATTTTGTTGTATCCCACACCACCTTAGACTCAAGGGAGTGGTGCGGTTTCTACCGCACTTTTTACCACATAGGCAGGGGAACACCGCCCCCCTATGGTTAGGCCGCACCTCACCCCTTTTTAGCCGCGTGTTTTGATTGGCTAATGGAAAAAGTGACCGTTGAATTGTCAAAAATGTATAGATTTAATTTTTTTCTTTCTTTACTATAAATTAAACCATCTACTTCATTTGTTCAAACCAAAACCAAACTTTTACATTTCTCTATTGCTTTCTCTCTCAAAATTAATAGAAAATATCATCTTCTGAAGAATTTCAAGTTATTTTTTATATTGCTATTGCTTGTGCTCAAATGTCGGAACAAACATATGACGCTTTATGCAATAACGCTGCCGAAAGTTCTCAATGGAGAACATGAAAATATATTTGTAGAAATCATAAAGAAGTCAACCAACGTTTGATACAATACTACTTTCAAGAGAATGCCACTTATCAAGGGTACTATTTTCGTAGGCGCTTCAGAATGTTCAAACGTTTATACGAACGTATAGTTGAAGATGTAACGAGGGAGTGCAGTTTTTTCCAACAACGTTCCGATGCTAGAGGTACACTCGGTTTCACTCCCTTACAAAAATGCACGGTCGCACTTCGTCAATTAGCATATGACATTACGCCTGATGCGTTGGATGAGTGTTTTAGGATGTTTGCTAGGACTGCACGAGATAATCTCCACTATTTTTATAAAACTGTGATTCAGTTTTATGGTCCAAAATATTTATGTAAGCCTACACGTAATGGCATCTTACAATTGCAAGCTCATCATGCTAGTGTGCATGGGTTTCCTAGAATGTTAGGAAGTTTAGATTGTCTCCACTGGGCATGAGAAAATTGTCCTACCTCACACCATGGGCAATTTACCCAAGGTGATCATGGTCACTCAACGGTCATACTTGAAACAGTTGCATCACAGGATCTGTGGATTTGGCATGCTTTTCTTGGTTCTCCCGGTTCGATTAACGACATCAACGTTCTTAATCGTTCATCTATATTTAACAACATATACGACAGATCTGCACCAAATTCTTCTTTTGAAGCGCATGGAATGTCATATAAGTATGGTTATTATCTTGTTGATGGGATCTATCCTGAGTATGTTGTGTTTGTTAAATCGTTTACGTGTCCACATGGTTCTAGATGAAAAAAATTCAAGAGAGCTCAAGAAAGAGCCAGGAAGGATGTCGAGCGTGCTTTTGGAGCTCATAAGAAACGTTGGTTCATATTGAAAAAACCAGCAATTTATTTCGGCGAGGAAAAACTTCAAGAAATCATGTATACATGTCTCATATTGCATAATATGATTATTGAAGACGAAGGAAGAGCGATATGTGACGATGAAGAAACCATACC